AGGGTGTCGTAAAGCAAAATAGCCTTTGTTTCGGATTTACTACCGCCTTATTATGATCAATATTACATATAATAACCCAGAAGACATGTGGAGGTTCACTGGTGGTTTTGGATAGTAAGTAAAATGCATATATTTGTGTTGTAGTCATGGTTACCCCTGGTTCCTATCACCACCACAAATCCGAGTCAGTACGTTTCTCTACAATAGAGCACAACCACTCTGAGTGACTTTATTTGTATCTCAACAATTAAATTACGTTGAAATGTTGAAAAATTGGAGGACTTCTCCTTTAAGAGGCATTAAACTCTTCAGACGTCTGGTTCCTATCACCATGACTGGGAACCATTTGGACTCGTTAGGTTTCTCTAGAATGAAGCATTACACATCAAACCACTCTGAATGACTTTGTCTACATCTAAAAGATTTAACTATACAGACATTTCTGCATAATTACTCTGCCTGTCAGTAGTTTAGGAACACTTTTCCTTCTTTTGAAAATTTTTGATTTTCACCTTAATAATAGGTTTTACCAAAACAGCTATTACAAACACATCAAAGTGGCCTGCTTTCTGTACAAAGCAGGTTTTGCCTAAATAATAATGAGACCGGTCTCTTTTTCAAACTATTGTTAAAAGCACATTTTGACCTAAAGGTGGTTCAAATATCTAAAAGGAGTTCTGACATCACAAGAGGATAAAAAGCATGACCTTTGGCTTTATTCCTGAGCTAACAGAGTGACTAGTATTGTCACAATGATTTACATCTATGATATTATTTTCCTCAAAATAATCCTGCTTAGTAATTAATATGTTAAAGGTGAGTTCCGCCAATGTTTAAACATTTCTTCATAATTAAACGGTTAAGATAAACAAAGTCATTCAGAGTGTTTTGATGTGAAATGCTTCATTTTAGAGAAATCAAATTTGTCAAAGTTGCTCACAGTGGCAGTGATAGGAACCAGACGTCTGAAGAGTTTAATGCCCCTAAAACAGGGCTGCTCAAAGTTGCCCCGCTAGACAGTTGCCACAAAAATGTATTTATTCTATTTACAACTTAAGTCAACTCTTATGCTGTAGCAGAGGTGTCCGAACTTTTTTCAAAGAGGGCCAGATTGTACTGTGTTGAAATACCAGAGGGCCGACATATTATTCACAAATGATTCAAAACATTAAGATTTCAAAATATCAGTGCACAGAATCTGAGCTCTCTGTGAGCTACCGTGTTTCCTATCACTGTATAAAAGATGCACGAGGCTTCTTCTGTTGTTGAATTGTTCATTCAGAGCAGTTTGGATCGATAAGCACTTATAATAAATAATTAAACTGTTTAAGAATAACAAAACAACATGTCTATGTATTAATCATGTTCCTATTCAAGTGTTTACTTGTTGAAAAATATAATTTGTGAGATAAACTAAATAAAAATCTATGAATGTTTGGTTTTGTTAGGTAATGTTCTTTACATATCAAATAAATGCAGTGTAGCCATGTTTTTGTTTGACCTTAAAGGGTTAATATTTACTAAACTGCTGAATTTACTCTATAAGAAATTATCCATCTCGCCAAAATAGTCAGTTTTCGGTGTTTAGTTTGAGCTTTATGTCTGAAGTCTTGAATAAATGTCGTTTACCAAATAAAGCTGCAGGTCTGGTCAGCAGCCACCATCAGGTAAAAGCAAGAACTGCAACATACTGGCAGGCGGGCCACTTATAATACACTGTAAAATAGAAGCCAGGGGCCGCATTTGGCCCTGGGGCCGGACTTTGGACACCCCTGCGTTATTGAATGCATTTATTATTCAATTAATAACTCAATTTAAAGCCTACACGTTTTGTTTAGTTATATACTATATATTGTTGCCAGTTGCCCACATTGTGCTCATTTTTCTAAAAGATCTACAAGCTTGATACGCGAGACATATTTTAATGATAATTTTTAGATAATGAAAATATATTTTTACACATCTGTTCATGGCGGAGGGGTACATGCAGGTTGTTGTAGGGCAAAACATTTCCCAAAGGAAACTTACTGTTTTCAGATGTATGACTATTTTGCCATCAATGTTACATATAAAAAGATGATGTTCATTCGGATGGTGAATAATTTGGCTGTATTTGTGTTGTAGACATTGTGACCTCTGGTTCCCATCAGCACCACAGTAATAAAGGAGTTGGAACGTCTGACTGCAGTGAACCACTTCACATCAAAACAACCTGAATGACCTTGTTTACATTTCACTGATTGAACTATGCAGAAATTTTTAAAAATGGGTGGAGCTCCCCTGTAACTTGCTGCAAACCAACAAAGAAAACATGCTCATCTGTTTGAAGACATTTCGAGTTTTGACCAACCCACTGTGTACCTACTCAGTATGCGACCGAATGCGTCTCGCACTTAGATGCTCTCAGCCTTTACACCTTACACCTTTACAGCCAGGCACTGTGGTAAATTGTGTGCATTTGATTTGATCTGGTAAAGTGGTCACTTGCACCCGGGCAGTGAAGAAAGCCATCTTCAGGGCTATCATTTGACCCAGGCTGCTCCGGATCAAGCGTCGAGAAAATTCCCTCCATTTGCATGAGTGGCTCACATCAAAGGGCCAAAGGAGGGGGCGAGTGGAGCAGCAGGCAACAATAGGTGTATAACGGGGGGAGGGAGGGGGGGGCCTCTTAATGAAATAGATCACCAGGACAGCCTCCGCATTTAAAGGTGGTGATGCGAGCGCTAACACGGAAAACTCCGGCCCACTGCCTGCCGTGCTTTCAGCCATTCTCTTTGAGGATGGAGAGCAGAGGATCCCTAGGGAAAGCTTGAAGGGGGAGAAGTGGAACGGGCTGATGGGGGGGATGGGGGGGGTGCTTCTGAATATTGGACTGCATAATCCCATAATAGTGCACGAACACACTGAGAACATGCATTATGAAAGTTGCAGATGCTGCATGCTTTGAAAAATAAAGGTTCTTAATGGTGCTCAGCTTTTTTTCCTACGGCTCCAGGAAAAACCTTTAAAGAGGAATTCCACCCATTTTTCAAAATTTCTGCAAAATTCAGTCGTTGAGATGTAAACAAAGTCAGAGGGGTTGGGTTGATGTGAAATGTTTCATTATAGAGAAACCTACCAGCTCAGGCAGTCTTTACAGTGGTGGGGTATAGGAACCAGGGGTCATGATGTCTACAGTGCTACTACTGAACCAAAATGTGATGTCACCAAAAAATGATGCCAATGTTGTTGTTAAACAATGTCTCAGGCATGAGGAAGCATATTCGAAACCAATTCACATGATAACTTACTGTGAGGGGGGTTTAAGCTCTTCAGACGTCTGGTTCCTATCACCACCACTGTGAACAATTCTGTCTCTGCAAGTTTCTCTAGAACGTCACATATGACATCGAAGCAATCTGAATGACTTTGTGATTTTGTTTATATCTGAACAAGTGAAATGTGCAGAAAATTTTGAAAAAATGATGGAATTCCCCTTTAAGTTCTATAGAATTGTTTCTTTGAACTTTAAAAAGGCTGAAAATGTCTTTAGGGAACCAAAATTGATTCTTCTATAGAATTGCACCGAAGAGCTTTTCTTATTTTTAAGACTGAATACCATACTGAACCACCATACTGCACTTTATCCGTCATATTACTCCAATACAGCAGAACATGGAAGTTTTGCAGGCCTAATCTCCAGGCTCGATTTCCTCTTACACGCTTTATAAACCAGTGACAATGCCCATTTTCCCTGACTAAAGCCCCATAGTCTAAGCTTGGTAACACAGGGCTGGCCCAGTCTATTGAAGCCTCTCCTGAAAGAGTCTCTCAAGGTTTAATTTGCATTTGAACCAGAGCCACCCCCTTTCACATGCAAACCCAGCTACTTCATCTAAATATTTGCATTGCTTTGACCCAACTTCTCTGTGTCTTATTATAGCACGCGAAGGGACTAAGACGGGAAACCGGAGTCTTTTTCATCTGCGCTTCCACTCCTGTGAACGCGAGCGCAATGTACGCGCAGATTACGCTGAAATAATAGTAGCATTGTGGAAGAGAACAAGAGAGAGAGAAAGAGCACTTTAGGAAAGAACCTGTTTGATTCTGTGGGATAACATGGGTCTGCTCAATGGGCAGAGGGTGGGGGGGGGTGCGGTGGATTACTTTGTCACAATGTTAAATCTTAAATAAGAGAAAATAAATAATAAAAAAATAAATAATAATAAAAAAGAGAATGTAAAATTTAACATAAGCAGTATTTTTGTGTAGTTCCACAAAAACTACACTACAAAAAATAAAAAATAAAAAAAAAATAAAGGTGCCACAAAAGGTTCTTCGAGCGATGCTATGGAACAACCACTTGTGGTTCCCCAAAGAACCATGCTTTAAAAATGACGTGTGAAGGTTTCAAGAGCATAATGTTAACCAAATTAAGGGTTCTTCCAGGAACCTTTACAACCTTTACATTACGTGAATATTCTTCAAACTTTAAACTGGTTCCTCCCACTCACACATCCCATTTACAAAAAAATTAAGGGTCCTTCAAGGAACCTGTGCATTATGTGGAGGGTCTTTAAACTTTAAAGGGTTCTTCTCATCTCATTTTCCACCGAGAACTATCCATTGAAAGGTTTACAAGTGGTTCTTTGTGCAAAGAACCCTTTATTGTTAAGAATGCAGATGAACAATATAGCCAGTTTGGTACCAACTTACTATGTATAACTTTATGAATGGTTTAAAGTTTAATTGGTTTATTTATGGTTATTAATTAGATCTTAGAACTAATAAACAGGTATAACACAAAGATAAAAAGGTCAGCAGTGAGCTGTTGTATCTGATGATGACAATCAGATTGATGATTGATGGATTGATTAAAAAGACAAAATAAGTAACCAGCAATAGCAGCAGATCACCAATTAATAACCAGTAATAAACTAATTTTGAACCATTCCTGAGCCGTTACATAGCGGTACTATCAGTTTTGAATAAAATAGTGAACGCCATGGTAAAAATATAGGACATTTTATTATCTTTTCCAAAAAAAAAAGGCACTTTTTCTCTTTCTCTTTGGCCCACTGATAGCTTGTTTACAGAGACAGGGGCCATTCAATACTATTCTGTGAGAAACAATGACCGAACTAAATTAAATATATTTATATATATTTATGTACACAATAAATAAGAACATTTAAACACATAAATGCCATGAACTGAGCTAAATCCGGACAGGAACATGTCTTACGCTCGTACCCCCATGCAGGTCCTTTTTGTTTTTTGAACGTATGACTGCATATGTGAAGTCTGCACTTCTGCAGCGAGCAATAATGAACATGTTGGGTTGGTTTGTTAGCGATTAGGCCTAGTCCTGGAATATATCTGCTGGATCCAGGACTTGGCTTAATCTCTGGGAAACCCAAAGCATTCCCTTTACGTGTAAAACACTGATTATCAGTCCACTCTGTGTGCTTTAAGCAGCAACTTTTGGCTTTCTGCTTGTCTGTATTCCACAAATTTCTCACACAAACTGTCCTTCAAAACTGTGCCTGCTTTCGCAAAGTGTTGTACGCACAGGGAGGTGTAGTGTAAGTCCATACAGTACGTTACAGATGAGGTCACTCTCTCCATTTCGCACACAAACATACGCACTCGCTCCAGTTCTTCTCATACATGCGTGGGGCTGTCTGAGTAAGGGTCAGTCTTGGACATGTGCAGTACCACGGCAGGGGCTTTGTAATGGCAGTGGGTGCTGCTACAGCTCCCTCCACTACAGTGCTTCCTGCTAGTCCTGTCTGCCAGCTTGCGGCTGCACAGGCCCTGCCAGGTCTGCAGGGTCTTGGAGCTCCACACCCACACCCCGCTGGTGATGCCCACCACCAGTGACATGAAAATCTTCAACATGAAGACCGCCACAGCGGGCACGGAGGCCTCTAGGCTGCAGTCCTCGTTCCTGCGGCCCGGGAAGGTGATGCACTTGCTCTCCAGGCCACGGAACTTCCAGTAGTCCATGTTGAGACGCTCATAGAAGTAGCAGACGATGACACAGGTTGCCGGGACAGTGTAGAGGACGGAATAGATGCCGATCTTGACCATGAGCTTCTCCAGCTTCTCCGTGTTGGTGCCCTCTGTCTTCATGACCTTCCGGATGTGGAAGAGCGCCACAAAGCCAGTGAGGACGAAGGACGTCCCGACTACCAGGTAGAAGGACAGGGGCACCAGGACAAAGCCCGTCAGTGCCCCCACGTCCATGCTGCCTACATAGCACAGGCCCGTCAGCTCATCGCCCGCCACCTTCCTCATGGTAAGGATGACGATGGTCTTCAGTGCAGGGATGCCCCAGGCAGCCATGTGGAAGTAGCTGCTGTGGGACTCGATGGCCTCGTGGCCCCATTTTTTGCCCGCAGCCAGGAACCAGGTGAGCGTGAGGATGACCCACCAGATGGAGCTGGCCATGCCAAAATAGTAGAGGATGAGGAAGACTATGGTGCAGCCCGTGCTCTCAAGCCCCTCTTGGATGATATACAGCTCCCCATTCTCGCGGTCGCATGCAATGTTCTCCGCTCCAGCGACCGAGCGGATTATGAAGGCTACCGAGTAAACGTTGTAGCACATGGAGAGGAAGATGATGGGCCTCTCAGGGTACTGGAAGCGATGTGGGTCCAGGAGGAAGGTGAGGACCGTGAAAGCTGTGGAAACGAAGCACAGCGTGGACCACACGGCCATCCAGATGAAAGCAAAGTCCTTGTCCTGCCTTGACCAGAAGACGTCAACGGCTGAGGAGCAGCGTGGGGCGCAAGACTCACTCTTCTCCACGTACTGGAACTTTTCCGGGTTCTCGCAGGCCCCCACAGGGCCCCCTGGGCGCCCAGTTCCTGAGCCGGGCTGCCTGGGTCGAGGAGGCACCGGCAGCATGCCTTCCCCTTTCTTAGTCTCAGGCTTGGTGTCGTTCTCTGGAGCCTCCATGCACAACGCGTTCGGGTCGTTCCTGGTGGGCAGTTTGGAGCAGTCCAGAGAATCAGGCCAGGCGTAGTTAAACTTCTCCATGATGGGGGAGCACTTCTGACGGGCCTGTTCACACATGGGCCTGCAGGCAGGGATGGAGGTGGACACCTGGTCGGTGCACATGGGCGCGTAGAGGGAGCAGAGGAAGAAGCGCAAGTGGACGTCACAACCGTACTCCACCAGCGGCGCAAATTCATTCAGTTTGATGGCAGCCTCCTTCTGGCTGTCATGGTCCATGAAGTTGGGCATCCGGGTGAGGTTGTATCCGATGCCCTGGCACATCGGGATGATGATGGGCTCACACTTGGCTGGTCTCCCCCTCTCGAAGTCGTAAGAGCTGATCTCCAGACTGGACGCCGCGATGACGAGCTGGCACCACAGTGAAATCACAACCTTCAGAGGTGAGCCCTCCATGCTATCTTATGTATGAAACTTTCCTGGCATATAAAGTCCTGATGGGAGATTATTCTGCTGGGATTAAACAACTATCTTCACATTCCAGTGATGCATCTCAGTTAAAAAGTCTCCCGGCTAACAAGACGGACAAAATAAGTCCTCAAATGAGAGTCACACAGCCGCTCGCGCCGCAGTTCCACAGCTGTTGGAGCGAAAAGCGTGTCAACATGAACTCCTGCAGCGCTTCACCGCGTAAACACGAACAACGGGAGCGAGATGGTCCGAGCAGATAGAAGCACAAACGGGTCCTTATCGTGGCTCTCCGGTTGCAGACGGCTGGCGCGGTGCATGCCGTGGGGCAGCGCGGGGTCACTTCACTCTCTGCGGGTTTCTCTTCCAGCCCACGGCGCGGTGCCTCTCCCCGCTCATCCACGAGCCAACACTGAACTTTCTCTTCCCTCCTCGCTCCTCTAAAAAACGCGGGGGCGGGCGATTCGTGACGTAGCTCTTCTCACACCCGTATTGCGACAAGCCCCGCCCACCCTGCGAAGACTGGCTGGTAGTGTCTCGCCTCCTCCGCTGTGATTGGCTGGGCATTTCTGCCTCTGTCCGCTTTGGACTCCAACGTTTTCGCTCCAGCTGGTGTGGAACTGAGGAGATAAGAGCGGCTGGGCTGTTCTCACGAAACATGACAGACACGGGGACTCAGCCTGGAATAACGTTTTATCTTTTAAACGTTTAAACAACGATGCCCGGTTGGATAAAAGTAAACCAGAAAGATTTAAGTGATTTTTTTATACAGTTTTTCAACGCAACTCACCAAATTCAGTAAGACCAGAAGATAAAAGTGTGAATGTTTTTCCCCACAACTTTTATTTTATAATCTGTGCACTGTTGTCTGACTATTTACAGCTAATTATTAAAATACATATTTGTTTTTTTTAGTTTATTTAGTATTTTGTGATTTTATCTCAGTACTGCAACACATTGAAAGCCATGGGAATTTTTTTTCCCTTTTTTCTTTTATTATTTTAACTCATTTCCTGTGTTTACAAGGAAAATCTTGATAAAACTGACACTCTTTTTCTGTTCAAACATGACATTTTTAATAAATAAAAAAAATATAAAATGAATAAATGACTGATAACGATAAAAAGAGCTAAATAAATAAATGAGTAAATGAGCTAATAGATAGATAGATAGATAGATAGATAGATAGATAGATAGATAGATGGATATATAGATAGATAGAATTAAAAAAAGATAAGATTAGATAAATAAAAAGCCAAAAATAGAGGATGAAAATACACCCTTGTAGGAAAACACGCTTTAAATGTGGCGTTTTATATTTTTGTTAAGTTTGTTTTTATTTTAGTGAACAGCACCGTTTACAGTCGACTCTTCGCGGGTTTGAGCGAAAATCTCTGCCGTGGACTTCAGGTTTGTAGTTCTGATTGGCGGGCCGTTTGTGAGTATGAACCATTAGCCAATCGTAGCCCAGGACGCGTGATGCCACTAGCCAATCGTAGCCGAGGAGGCGGGATTTGTCGGAATACGGGTGGGAAATAAATAGCGTCTACCTAAAGCTCAGCAGGCGAGTCCACTGAACTCAATGCAGCCTCTGTTTCCAGACCAGCGACCTAACGAAGTGAAGTTATTTACTTCAGAACTAGAGAGACTGAATTATGGGGCTTTATGGAGGAGAGGAGAGGAGTGGAGAGGAGAGGATAGGGGTGGAGTGGAGAGGAGAGGAGAGCAGATAAGAGGAGAGGAGTGGAGAGGAGAGGAGAGGAGTGGAGTGGAGTGGAGAGGAGAAGAGAGGAGAGGAGAGGAGAGGAGTGGAGTGGAGTGGAGAGGAGAGGAGATGAGATGAGAGGAGTGGAGAGGAGAGGAGAGGAATGGAGAGGAGAGGAGAGGAGAGGAGACTCATTCGAGGCAGTTGTAATTTTTACTACACTTCCTCCACAGCATTTGAGGTTTATGCAGCTGATGTATAGCTGGGAATATGACAGTTATGATTTGTCTTGCAGGGACCAAATGACGTGTTTTCAACTTCAACACAATTTTCAATGTTTTGTGTGTTAAAATGTCTCGATTCTAAAGACCTATAATTATATACTGCATCATCGGTTTGGCTTAAAATGATATAGTACACACTTTAAAAAGATGGTTCTTCAAGGGTTCTATAGTAAAGTGAATGGTTCTATTTAGAACAACGAGTTCTATAAAAAACAATTTGCATGCTTAAATGGTTCTTTGTGTGTTGAAGCGCTTCTTTAGATTGATGGAGAATGTGTTGTATATGTTGAGAGTGTGTTGGACTCACCAAGAAGCGTTCTTCTACACCCTTAAAAAAGATGGTTCTTCAAGGGTTCTTTAGTAAAGTGAATGGTTCTATTTAGAACAATGAGTTGTATATTGAACCACTTCATGCTTAAATGATCCTTTGCATGTTCTTCTGATTGATGGAGAGTGTGTTGTGTATGGTGAGGGTGTGCTGTGTATGGTGAGAGTGGGTTGTATATGGTGAGAGTGTGTTGTATATGGTGAGGGTGTGTTGTGTATGGTGAGAGTGTGCTGTATATGGTGAGAGTGTGCTGTATATGGTGAGAGTGTGTTGTATATGGTGAGGGTGTGTTGTATATGGTGAGAGTGGGTTGTGTATGGTGAGAGTGTGCTGTATATGGTGAGGGTGTGTTGTACATGGTGAGAGTGTGTTGTATATGGTGAGGGTGTGTTGTATATGGTGAGAGTGTGTTGTATATGGTGAGGGTGTGTTGTATATGGTGAGAGTGTGTTGTATATGGTGAGGGTGTGTTGTATATGGTGAGAGTGTGTTGTATATGGTGAGGGTGTGTATGGTGAGAGTGTGTTGTGTATGGTGAGAGTGTGTTGTATATGGTGAGGGTGTGTTGTGTATGGTGAGAGTGTGTTGTGTATGGTGAGAGTGTGCTGTATATGGTGAGAGTGTGCTGTATATGGTGAGAGTGTGCTGTAAATGGTGAGGGTGTGTTGTGTATGGTGAGGGTGTGTTGTACTCACCAGGAAGGGTTCTTCTACACCCTTAAAAATATGGTGCTTCAAGGGTTCTTTAGTAAAGAAAATAGTTCTATATAGAACCATATACACTCAAAGAACCCTTTTCATAATTAAAGGGTTCTTTGCAACCTGACAGTGTTTTTTTTGGATTGATGGAAAATGTGCATGAATGTACTACAGATGGTTTTATAAAGAAAATTTTGAAAAGGGTTCTATATAGTACCAAAATGGTTCTTCAATTGTTACAAGCTTGGCACCGTAACAATAGAAGAACCCTTTTGGTGCTATATAGAACCATTGTCAGAAAGGTTCTAGATAGAACCATCTACAGCAAATTGCCCATCAGTCTGAAGAACTCTTTCATGATGCACAGGGTTCTTTGAGTGTATACGGTTCTATATAAGAACCCTTGAAACACCATGTTTTTAAAAGTGTATTGTTACAAGCGTGACATTGTAACAACAGAAGAACCCTTTTGGTGCTATATAGAACCATTGTCAGAAAGGTTCTAGATAGAACCATCTACAGCTGTCCTTTAGCATTGTCCATCAGTCTGAAGAACCCTTTCAAGTTGCAAAGAACCCTTTCATCATGAAAAGGGTTCTTTGAGTGTATACGGTTCTATATAGAACTATTTTCTTTACTAAAGAACCCTTAAAGCACCATCTTTTTTAAGAGTGTATTGTTACAAGCTTGACACTGTAACAATAGAAGAACCCTTTTTGGTGCTGTAAAGAACCATACACAACACATTCTCGATCAGCCTGAAGAACACTTTACCATGCAAATAACCATTTAAATTGAACTATGCAAATAGTTCCAGATAGAACCATTCCCTTTACTAAAGAACGCTTGAAGACCCATCTTTTTGGAAGTTTGTAGTACAGAGAGCTATAAACAATACAGAAACCTGAATAGTGAACACTGTGTAGCTCTTCTCCATCACGAAAGCACAATCAAAACATGCAAAATCTTTGTCAGCATTAATTAATCATTAATTAATCAATAACCAAATTACTGTGCTAAATATTCGAATATTTCATGGTTTCTTACTAAAGATGTCAAATGGGAGAGTGTCAGAAGAGACTGAAGAGAACTGTATCATCAGCACAGTTTTAAATGATGGTTAATTAAATAATTTCTTGATTTTTTATTACTGTCTAAACTGTTACGCCCTCATAGTCTTGCCAGCAGTGCATAAAATTAAAAAGGGAATGGAATCTCTGAAAACAGCCCAGTGTTTATGTTTATGTCCGGGACAGCCCACAGCCACTGATAGGGTTTCGCCTTCTGAAGATTCACTGGAAGGGCGATTAAAGATAAACAGGGCTGAGTTCTGACTCTGCGCTCGAGAGGAGAATTAAATTAGAACGGCTTTCATTCAACTGTACAGGCTGTTTACACTGGAAACACAAAACGTCTCCACATGGAAATTCCCGTAAAGAAAAAAGGCTATTGTTACCATCTAGTGGCAGTGTATTGTACAGCACATCCACAGTGACGGACACTTCAGCTCTCTCTATTTATCGGCTGTCTTCCAAACGGAAGAAATGTGAGAGACTAATGACGAACTCAGAATTAGTAACAGGCTGCTTTGTGTGGATGTGCTGATGAATAATCCTGTTTCAGCTTGACTAAAGACAGACTCTTCACTAGAGTTCAGTCTCAAGGCCACATGAACAGAAGAGCTCAAGAAAAGCGAATAGAATAGAACAAAGCAGAAAGGAACAGAATGGAAGAGAATGGAATGGTATATGAAGTGGAACACAAGAGAACAGATAGAAATACAATATAATGCAATACAATACAACAGAACAGGATACAGTATAATATAATAATATAATGCAATAAAATAGAATAATATAGTATGGACATATTCGATAGTAAAACATGTTAGAATAAAATGGAGCTGAATAAAATAGAATAGAATGGTATATGAAATGGAAGGCAACAGAATAGAGTATAAAAAAGCGGATAAAATCATGTAGTGCAGAATATAACAGAGTAAAAGAATAGAATAGACAAAGATGAAAATAAAACAAAACAATAAAAATGAACAGGTTATAATGGAATGAATAGAACAGTATGGAAGACAGCAGAGTGGATAGACCACAATAAAATGGAAAGGAAATACAATATAATGCAATACAATACAACAGAACAGTATTGACATATTTGATAGTAAAGAATAGAATAAAATTGGACAAATCATTAAACAATAGATCAGTCAAAAGAGATAGAATAGAATAGAATCGAATAGAACAGAATAAACACACAGAACACTAAAGAGTAGAATGAAGTAGAGTAGAAAAACAGAATAGACAGAATAAAACAAAATAGAATAGAACAGAATAGAAGAGAAGAAAAGAGATAAAGCAGAAAATAATAAAA